AACCCACCAGCCACTCCTCAGAAGGAAGATGGGGCAATCTACTTCCGTAGTGATACTGCCTTGGAAACCCAAGGAGGGGTCACTATGAGTTGGGTCCGACTCGATGGTACATAACAACAACAACAACAGTGATAATTTCTATATACTAGGAGCTCTGGTAGCTTAGTGCCTAAGGCACTTGACTGCTAACCAGAAGGCTGGCAGTTCAAACCCATCAGCCACTCCTTGGAAAGAAGATAAGGCAATCTACTTCTGTAGTCATACTGCCTCGGAAACCCAAGGAAGGGTCGCTATGAGTCGGGTCTGACTCAACGGCACATAACAACAACAACAGATATTCTTCAGTAACAAGATATTTTGATATTGTTGATTTGATATTGTTGAATGATTTGCTCAACCTTATTGGAGATTTAGACTGTTTCCAAGTTTTTTCTAGTAAGTATAATACCGTGATCAATATTCCTAGTAATAGTGATCATAGCATTCTTTGAGCACTTACTACAGCACTGTGCTAAATTAAATATTTTACATGAATTAGTTTCATAACAATTCTAATAAAAACTATTGTCTCTTTTTAACAGATGAGGAAACCCAAGTTCATAAGCTAATTAAGGTGTCTACAGCTAAGAATAAGCACTAATCTAAACCAAATTCATTGCTGAAGAGTTGATTTCAACTTATAACCTCCCTATATGAAAGAATAGGAGCTCTGGTGGTGCAGTGCCTAAGGCATTTGCCCACTAACCAGGAGGTTGGAGGTTCAAACCCACCAGCTGCTCCACAGAAGGAAGATGGGGCAATCTACTTCTGTAAAGATTTACTGCCTTGGAAAAACAATGGGGTTGTTATGAGTTGGAATCCACTTGGTAGCACTGAGTTTGGTTTTGTTGTTTGGTATAGGAAAGAACAGAACTGCCCTATATGGTTTCCAAGGTGGTGAATCTTTACAGAAGTAGACTGACACATCTTTCTCCTGCAGAGTGGCTAATGGCTTTGAACTGCTAACCTTTGGGTTGGCAGCCAAGCACTTCACCACTGTGCCACCAGGGCTCCTAGAATAAGCACAAAAACCAAACCAAACTCACTGCCATCAAGTTGATTCCAACTCATAGTGATCCCTCATTGGGTTTCCAAGGTGGTACATCTTTATGGAAGTAGATTGCCTCATCTTCCTTCCGCGGAGCAGCTGGAAGGTTTGAATTGCTAACCTTCTGGTTAGCAGTCCAATGCCTTAAGTACCACCAGAGTGCCTTAGAATAAGCACAAGAGATATTAAATTAGAATTTAACCCCACATTTTTCTGACATAAACACATGCTCCAATTGGTTTTCTGTGAATAAGTAAATTAGCACTGTTTGAAGATTATAATTGTTGTGAGCACTTGTTGGCTCTAAATTAAGACATCTGTGAGGTTTTTCTTCATCTCCTTCCTTCATCCTTTTCTTTTTTTTAAAGGAGATTATCTAATGAACAGGAGCTCTGGTAGCATAGTGCCTAAGGCACTTGACTGCTAACAGAAGGCTGGAGGTTCAAACCCACCAGCCACTCCTCGGAAGGAAGGTTGTGCTATCTACTTCTGTAGTGATACTGCCTCAGCAACCCAAGGAGGGGGCACTATGAGTCAGGTCCAACTGGACGGTACACAACATCTAATGAATATTTAGTGGGTTTTTTTTTTTGTACATTTTAACTGTGCTGTGCTGTTGCTGTTATGTGCCATTGAGTCACACTTGACTCATAGCGACCCCTGTAGTAATCTATTATTCTGCTAAAAATAAACAAAACAAAAACAAAAACAAACTCACTGCCGTGGAGTCGGATCCGACTCATAGTGATCCCTCCTTGGGTTTCCAAGGCGGTATCACTACAGAAGTAGATTGCCTAACCTTCCTTAGGAGGAGTGGCTGGTGAGTTCGGATCTCTAGACTTCTGGTTAGCAGTCAAATGCCTTAGGCACTACACCACCAGAGCTCCCATTATTCTGCTAGGATGATAATATTTATGTACCCTTATAGCCCTTAGTTTGTGATCTACAAAACAGGAACACAAGCCTTAGAAACAAGCCTTTCATTGTCATTAAAGGACAGTAAAATCATTAAAGATCAGTAACACCAGTATAATTCAGAAAAATAGAAAACAGAGGTAGTGAAAATTTTAAATTTTATGGTACTTACATACAAGCAATGTTTTTACATCTTCAAGTACCCCTCAAAGTAAACCTGAGTTAAACTCATTGAGTAGATAATTGAGACCCTGTTCCACACCAGTGGTTTAATGGATAAGAATGATTGGCAATCAGCACATCATTTGATGGTATATAAAATAAGGGCTTCTTAAAGGAGCTCTGGTGGTATAGTGTCTAAGGCATTTGTCTGCTAACCAGAAGGCTGGCAGTTCAAACCCACTAGCCATTCCTTTGCAGGAAGCTTGGGGAATCTACTTCTGTAGTGATACTGCCTTGAAAACCCAAGGAGTGGTCACTATGAGTCAGATCTGACTCGATGGTAGTGAGTTTGGTTTTTTTTTGAAAGTTCTTAAGGATGGTTGAAATGGTTTCATTTCTTAAGTTGATCAAACTCTCACCGTGTTTTTTTTTTTTTTAAATTGTGATTTGGGTGAAAGTTTATAGAGCAAATTAACTTTCCATACAGCAGTTCACATACACTTTGTCTCATGACATTGACCACAATTCACCCCAACACAACAGCTCCCACTTTCTCCCAGTTTTCACCATGCTTTAATACACCCTTTTGAAATAGTAACAAACTGGCTCTGAACTTTTGAGTTTTAATTCAAACCAAACTCACTGCCTACATCCAGTTGATTCCAACTCATAACGACTCTATAGGACAGAGTAGAACTGCCCCACAGGATTTCCAAGGTTGTAAATCTTTACAGAAGTGGACTACCACCTTTTTGTCGCACAGAGCAGCTTGTGAGTTCAAACTGCCAACCTCTAGCAGTTAGCTCCACCAGGGCTTCTCACAGTCTTAGAGAATCCAGAATTAAATCCAACTCCAAAGTCATCGCTGTTCAGTCATTTCAACTCAGCCACTCTACAGGGGAGAGTAAAACTGCCTCCACAGAGTTCCCAAAGCTGTAAATCTTTATGAAATCAGAATGCCACATCTTTCTCCCATGGAGCTGCTGGTGGGTTTGAACTGCAGACATGTTGGTTACCTGCCGAGCACTTAACCAGTGTGCCACCAGGACTCCTTAGATGTAGCTTTATAGGGCTCAATAATTCTGAAGATAAACGATCAAATCTTGTTCAAACCTGAGAGATTAATTTCCAATTATGAACATCCTGGAACTAAAATCCGTTTACCTAAGCACTCACTCAGGGCCAACGAACAAAGCAAAACATAGAAGCTGGACAAACTGAGATGTTGGTTAAAACAAATTTCATACAAGTAAAGCCTCGGGTGCTACAAATGAAGATTTAATTAAAAGTGTTAGAGGTGAGAGAATAAAGAAAGGATCCAAACCGGAGCTTTCCAGAGAGCCTAAAAAACCGCGATGGAGAAGTAACTGTTGCTTTTCTTTTTAAGAGTTGTGGACCTAAACTCAGGGTTCTGGGCTTCCACCTCCGCCATTTGGGGTCTTGGCGCCCTCTAGCCCCCGCTCAACCCAGAGTCTCAGTGGCTTCGAGCGCCCTCGCCTTCGATCACCAATAGTGCCAACAGCAGCAGGAGGAAGAGCAGCAACAGCAGGAGCAGCAACATGGCACGACCGGTGAGTGCCCCCCGCGGGGGAGGCAGTGAGACGGCGCTGGGGAGGTGGCGCGGCGCGAGCGTTGCCGGGACACAGAACGCTCGCGTCCCTGGCAGCTGCAGCTTACGTCAGGGTTTGTTTAATCATCGCCCGGGTATTAAAGGCCGGGGTTTGCGGGCAGACGCCCGGTAGCACAAAGATCGCGCGGGGCAGCGTATGAGGCGCGGCGGCTGCGGCCCAGGGCACCTCCCCCCAGTTTCCAGAACCCTACAGCGTCCGACCTTAGGGGGAGGATGGAAACATCAGCCACGCTCTGAGCCTCTCAGGAAGATAACACCCTTCCCGCCATTCCATCCCGCAGTTCTGCGGACGCCACCATCTCGGCCCCTCCAACTCTCCAGTTTCCACAGCCCGGCAAGCGGAAAAGCGAGCGATGGCAGAACACCTGAGGAAACTTGTCTCGAACGAATATTTACGATCACTGCCTGAGAAGCTTGACTGCTGGCTGAGGGAGTACAACGTGAGTCTGGGTGGGGTTGTTCCCTTCACAGTCTTGGGCGAGGGTTGTCTTTTTATTATTTCTTTAAAGATTTGTGTGTGTGCGTGTGGTGAAATGTCTGTAACAAAACATTTCAGCCATTTTTATGTGTACAATTCAGTGACATTAACTACATTTACCAGGTTGTGCAACAATCACCACCACGTTTCCAAAAAATTTTTTTTTTCAATCACCCTTAACAAAAACTCTGTACAACTTAAGCAATAACACCTTTCCGCATTTTCTCCAGGGTGTGTGATTTTTAGGGGTGGCATCGGGTGGCTGCTTTGCAAAGACCCCTCCTTTGTGATTCCTGATGGGGACCTCGGCCTCCGACCCAAATAGCTGGGAAGCTAGCGCGTGTGTAACCAGTGCGCTTTTCTTTGCCGCGGGAGGCGGGGCTGGGGACTTGGGGCAGTGAGAATACTTCCTGTGGAGGGTAACCAAGGACGCTGACGGCCCTAGCAACAACCGAACTCTGCAATCCCTTGGGTCTGTGTGGTCTAGTCTGCCATTCTCCTTCCATAGTGGCTAAGGCACTTGACTGCTAACCAGAAAGCTGGCGGTTCAAACCCACCAGCCACTCCTCGGAAGGAAGGTTGGGCAATCCTACTTCCGTAGTGATACTGCCTCGGAAACCCAAGGAGGGGTCGCTATGAGTCAGGGCTGACTTGAGTGCACATAACAACAACAACAACAATAGTCTGCGCCAGCGCAATCAACACATTCCCGGCTCATTATTTTACTACACCCCTGCCTTTTTGCAGTGTCCCAGTAAGAGGTTACCCAGGGGTTGCAGGTAACCCTCAGAATGGATTTTTATAAAAATACATCCAAATGACATTGAAACAGACACTTGTAAGCGTTGTGGGTTTCACTTGTGTGGTTGGTGGTCAGCATGGAAGTAAGGCACTGTTTTAACACCAAGGCAGATTACATGTGTAATAAACCAATACTCTGTTCTCACACTTCAACTCTCATTAATTCCATCCTGTTCCCAGTAACCTCCCACAAACTGAAAGTTGAACTTCAGTATTGAATCTACTTTACACCCCACCACCTTAAATGGGAGGTTTCCATTCTTACACAACAAATAAAGAAGTGAAAGAGCAATCATGTCCTTGTTGTTATGTGCTGTCCAGTCGGACCAGACTCATAGTGACCCCTCCTTGGGTTGCCGAGGCAGTATCACTAGGGAAGTAGATTGCCCCACCTTCCTTCCCAGGAGTGGCTGGTAGGTTTGAACCACCAGCCTTCTGGTTAGCAGTCAAGTGCCTTCGGCACTATGCTACCAGAGCTTGCCCTTAAAAGTCTTAAAAGACTAGGAATTAGATCCTGTGTCCCTTCTCTGGTTCTACATAGAACTAGCTGAATAACCTTGAGTAATTCATTTAACTTCTCTGGATTTCAGTCACCTCATCGATAAAATGGGAGGTGTTAGATCCCAGTTTTGTTGAGTCTAGAGCAGCTTTGTTTCTGAAACTCTAGCAGGAAAGATGCAACTTGATGCTGTCGTGATTCCGGTGGGGTCCGCCTTCAACCTTAAGGGGTGTTCCTGAGGTGGAGAGGAGCTCAAGGACAGCCATGGCTTTCTCCTTAGCCTTAATTTTTAGTGTTTAATGTTTATTCCCCACTTCACACCTTTAACAGCATCAACACTGACTTCCTTCTGCATCAAGATTTCAGGAAAATTAAAGGTATTTCTTTATCACAAAAAAGGCTTGTTCCCCCCTCCATTCTTATCATCAGTTATCTTCTGATTCAGACTCATGGCACCCTCATGTGTGGCAGAGTATTACTGTGCTCCTTATTTCTCAGAAGTAGATTGCCAGACCTTTCTTCTGAGGCACCTCTGGGTGGCTTGAGCCTCCAACTTTAGCAGCTGAGCACATAAACCATTTTTACCACCCAGGGACTCCTCATCATCCTTAAAAGTTCCTAATTATTAATCACTTCTGGAAATCTGAGAACAAATCCTGATACATGTATTCACTCTTTTTAAAACTACCTCTCACCAAAAAAAAAAAAAAAAAAATTTTACTACCTTGTGTCTTAGATAAATTTTGAATGAATACATACATTCAAATTGTTACAAGATAACATGTAACACACATGACACTAGCTTTTGACTGGACCAAATTAAATGATAGTTTTAGAAAGCACTTGTAAGGATTATTACACTTACCCTTCTCAGTTAACAGTGGTCCCTCTGTACTCCCTGAAACCATTTCAATCTAGCTTCTCTCCCCTGTTCCCCCCACCCCCCCAGTAGAGATTTCACTTTCCAGAACTCGTGGAAGTTTCCCATGCAACATCATTCTTGAGCTCTGGGACATCTCTGTTGCATTTGACTGCTGACACCCAATTCTAAGGCTCTGATACATTTTATCTCCTTGACTGACCCGCTCCTCTCTTGTGACTGTTCTTCAAGGGCCAGACGTTAGGAGTCTTCTCTTCAACCTCCACCTGTTTCAACCTTTCCTGTATGCTGATGAATCTCAAATCTATATTCAGGGCTTGATGTCGTCTTAGCTCTCTCACTTGTCCATTTGTCCCACTGGGCATTTTCAGTGCTGTTGTAATCTCAAAGTCAAGCCAGTCTAAAATTGAGCTCAACATCTCCCATGCCCAACCACAGGCCTCTTTTAATTGTCTTCATTATGACAACTGATGAGTTGGTACCAGCTTCAAAATTTGTATAGAATCTGAACATTTTCCACCACCTCCACTGCCATCATCTTTGTTCACCTTTCACCTGGATTATTAAAAAATAATTCAAAGTGCTTCTTTTATTTGTAGTATCAGATCAAGTTCCTCTTCTGCCAAAATTTTCTGCTTCCTATCTCACTCAGAGTACAAGCCAGAGTTCCTACAATGACCTGCAAGATCCTACACATTACTGCTCCTTAACCTCTCTAACCTCATCCATTACTTTATTACTTGCTTGATCCACCCTGGTAACATTGACGTTCTTGATCTCTCTAAAAGAGTACAGTCGATAGAAATTTCTAAAACAATGGATATGTTCTAAACTGCTCTGTCCAATATGGTGGCTGTTGAGCATTTGAAGTGTGACCAGTGCAATTGCAGAACTGAACTTTTAATTTTGTTTAATTAATTTACGTGGAAATAATCACCTAATTCCAACTTATAGTGACCCTCTAGGGCAGAGTCTGCTCACTGCTGTCGAGTCAGATCCGACTCATAGCGACCCCTCCTTGGGTTTCCAAGGCAGTATCACCACAGAAGTAGATTGCCCAACCTTCCTTCCAAGGAGGGGCTGGTGGGTTTGAACTGCCAGCCTTCTGGTTCGCAGTCAAATGCCTTAGGCACTATGCCACCAGAGCTGCTAAGTGTAACCTAGGGCACAGTAGAATTGTCCAATATGGTTTCTAAGTGGCTGGTAGGTCCAAACCGTCAGCCTTGTAGTTAGCAGCTGAATCCTTTAACCACTATGCCACCAAAGCTCCTCTGGCTACTGTATTCAATAGCAAAGTTCTAGAGCCTGCCAGACATCCTCCTGCTTCAGTGTATTTTACATTCACTGTTCTCTCTGCCTGGGAAGCTTTCCCCAAATATCAACATCCTCACTTCCTCCCGTCCTTCATGTCTTTGCTTAAATGTCATTTCTTCAGAGAAGCCCACCTTGACCACACTACTTAAAATTGCAGTCCCCTACCCTCATCTCTGGTGGTGGTGTGGTTAAGGCATTTGGGTGCTAATCAAAAAAGGTCAGTGGTTTGAACCCACCAGCCGCTCCATAGAAGAAAGATGAGGCAGTCTGCTTTTGTGAAGATTGTCTTGGAAACCTAATGGGGGTTGCCATGGGTCAGAACTGACTCGATAGGACTGAGGTGTTTTTTTTTTTTTTTTTTTTGTACCCTCATCCCCAAGGAGCCCTGGTAGCACAATGATTACATGCCTGGTTGCTAACCAAAAAGTTTGTTGGTTCGAACCCACCAACCACTCCATGGGAGCAAAGACCTGGCAATCTGCTACTGTAAAGACTACAGCCTAGTAAACCCTGTGGGGGCAGTTGTACTCTGTAAGACACCATGAGTCAGAACTGATGGCACACAACAGCAGCACCTTCATTCCCTAGTCCTCACTCTCTCTCTTGATTGCTGTATTTCTTTTCTTTTTTAAAATTTTTTTGTGGTGAAAATATACACAACAACATAACTTCCCAATTACAGCTCACGGACACTGATGACATTTTTCGTGTTGTGCTGCCATTATTGCTATCCTTTTCCAAAATATTCTACCACCATTAGCATAAACTCAATGCTCTGCAATAAAAGCTCCCCCCCCCCAACACCTTATCCCTGGTAACCATTGATAACCTTTGGTATATATCTATATATATCTACATATATATGTATGTATTTTCAACCTAAGAATTTAGCCTCCTCTACCTTCCCATTCCCGGTAACCAACAAAGAAAGTTTCCTTCCATGTATAAACTTTTCCTTGACTTTTTACAGTTGTGGACTAATCTAGTATTTGTCCTTCTGTGATTGACTTATTTCACTCAGCATAATGTCCTCCAAGTTCATCCATGTTATGTGGTATTTTGCAGATTCTACATCATTCTTTAGGGTTGCATAGTATTCCATTGTGTGTATATACTACAGTTTGTTTATCCATTCCTTGGTGGATGGGCACTTAGATTGTTTCCATCTCTTTGCTGTTATGAACAGTGCTGCGATGAACATGGGTGTGCATGTGTTTGTTTGTGTCTTGCCCCTCACTTCTTTAGGATATATACCTAGCAATGGGAGGGCTGGATCAAATGGTATTTCTATTTCCAACTTTTTAAGGAATTGCCATACTGCTTTCCACAGTGGTTGTATCATTTTATAGTCCCACCAGCAGTGTATGAGAGTCCCAATCTCTCCATATCCTCGCCAGCATTTGTTATTTTCTGTCTTGTTGAACTTGTTGTTAATACTGGGGTGCTTGCTGTATCTCTTCCATAATAC